GGGTGGGTAAGATGATCTTGGCAGCCCTTCCCAAATCTGAGAGGCAGCATATTAAAGGAGGTGCAGAGGGGCTACAGCACTGATGCGACCGAAGTCCTGGCTGAGCTGGAGGAAGGAGGGCTCATCTCATAGAGGGAGGGAACATCTGGGAAAGCCTCCTGGAGGAGGTGGTACTGGGTGTGGAAGAATGGGGAAGGAGGAAAGGTGGATGGATGGGTGTGGGTGGTCCTAAAGGCAGGCTGTCCTCACTCCACACCCAGCTCAGGGCCCTGGCACTGGAATGTGTTTCACAAATGACTGTCTAAAGGCAGAGGGGGGGCCCTGGCTGGGTAGCTCAGTTGGTTAGAGCATTGTCTCAACACACCAAGGTGGTGGGTTCAATCCCTGGCCAGGACACATACAAGAATCAACTAATGCGCCCTAGCCGGTTTGGCTCAGTGGGTAGAGCGTCGGCCTGTGGACTGAAGGGTTTCAGGTTCAATTCTGGTCAAGGGCACATGCCAAGGTTGCAGGCTCTGTCCCCAGTGCAGGTGTGCAGAAGGCAGCCAATCAATGATTCTCTCTTATCATTGATTTTTCTATCTCTCTCTCCCTCTCCCTTCTTCTCTGAAATCAATAAAAAAATTTTTAAAAAACAACTAATGAATGCATAAATAAGTGGAACAACAAATCAATGTCTATCTCTCTCTCTCAAATAAATCAAAAAAAGGCAGAGGGGGGCAAGATGAGGAAGTGGGGGGCCTCCATGACATGGCAGGTGCAGGGAAGCTAAGGAGGGCTTCTGGGGCCAGAAAGCTTAGACAGGTGAGGGCTGAGGAGCAAGGGCAGTAGGGCTGGGATGGGTCTTCCCTCCTAGGGGGAGGGAATGTCTCGTGAGTAGCTCAGTTTTTTAGTATTCAGTCAACAAACAGTCTGCACCCACCCTTTTCCAGGCTCTGTGCTTTATGCCCTTTTTGCTTCTACTTTCCCCTTCCAGGTTTTCTCTTCAAGTGAATCCTCAGATGAAGACCCTCCACAGCCCTTTCTTCAGTTCTCAAAGGCCAAGGGAGGCAGGCGGGTCTGCAAGGGGCCTTGGCCTGCCCTGAAGTCCCGCCAGTCTGTGGTTGCTCTCAACAGCGCCGCCCTAGTGGCCAGCCGGACTCGGGCCTTCCAGGAGCAAGAGCAAAAGCAGGAGCAGGAGCAGAGGGAGGCTGGCTATTCCTCCACACCCAGGCTCAGGAAGGTGGTGAGGCAGGCCAGCGTGGATGGCAGTGGGGAGGAGGGCGAGGCCTGAGCCCTCACACATGCCTGTGCCCCCTTAGACACTAATAGAGGTGCCTGCATACAGCTCCTGGGATGAGCACTCCTCACTCCCGTCAGCTTGTCTGCACTCCTCTTAGCTCCTCCCCAGGAGGTTCCAGGCCCCCTTCACTACAGCCTCAGCTTCTACAGCCTTAAATCTCAGACCCATGTCCACCTGTCCAAGGGCTCAAGACTTTCTCTGCAATTGGGGATATAGTAGAGAGAATGACGGTGCTTTGGGGGGCATTGTCAACCGCTGCCCGAAACACTTGCAGCCATGGAATAAAGCAGTTCCCCAGTGCTCCCTCATGCTCCCTCCCTCACCCACTCCTGTCTGCCTCATCTCTGCCCCCTTCTTTCCTGGGGCCCTCTAGGCCGGAGAACCAGTGGCCTCCAAAAGTCTGGGGCAGCGGTTCTCAACCTGTGGGTCGAGACCCCTTTGGCGGTTGAACGACCCTTTCACAGGGGTCGCCTAAGACCATCCTGCATATCAGATATTTACATGACGATCCTTAACAGTAGCAACATGACAGTTATGAAGTAGCAACGAGAATAATTTTATGGTTGGGTCACAACATGAGGAACTGTATTTAAAGGGCCAGAAGGTTGAGAATCACTGGTCTAGAGTAACCTCAGTCCTCAGTCCCCAGTCCTGGGAAGCTCTGAGGAGCAGAGAGCTGGGCCCTCTGATGGGGCTGGCAGGTTGGCCTCCCTCACTCAGCCTACAGCCCCTTCCAACCCCTCCCCCAACACCCCCTCCCTCCCGTGGCCAGGCCGTGGGACACAGGGCACCAGGCCAAAGAGAGTCCACTTTTTGTCCTTCACAGCCTCTGGCCAGTTTTTCATAGTCTTGATAGTATCTGACTTTGTACTTAGAAATAAAAAAAACATTTTCATATTATTTTTGATTTTTTGATGAAGCCACCTACTGTCAGTCCAATTCTTCTGTGGTTACACAAGGAGTCTGGCCTCTTTTTACTCCCTCCCCATCTCCTCACAGTTCCCGGGTGTCTCGAGATGTGCGTGTTGGGGTGGGGTGGGAGGGAGAATGGGAAAGGAGGGAGGCCAGCGTTGTCTCCTCATCTCCTCAGGCAGGGCCTAGGTAAATGCTCGCTGCCCACGCCCCCCTCTGGTGGGTCGGGCAGCAGGTGCTTGGCTCTGCTGGGACAGCTGAAGGGAGTTACTCATGAGGAAGTGGAGGCGGCCAACACCTGCCTGGACAGGACCGAGCCTGTTCCAAAAATTAAGGCTCCTTTTGGACCGGGTGCTAGTTCTCGAGCACACTCTGGGTCCTGAGAACCCTTTTCCTGCTACGGGCAAGAGAGTCCGATTTTCCAAGCCAGCCTGTGACTGCCTTCCCCTTCGGCCTAGGGGTTCCTGCTGCTTAGTTGTCGTGTTCAAGACGAGAAAGTGGCTCCATCGTTGTCACCTGCAGCCCCTTTCCAAGATCACATTCTCTGTCCTGTAACACACTCCTTTGGTTGGGGGTGGGTGGGTGTGCAACTCCTTCCCTCAAAGCAAGCCTCAGGTAGAAGCTGCCAAGTGTTTTCATTGATTTGAGACCTGATGCCCAGTTTTGTTTTGGTTTTGTTTTTTAATATATTTCTTTATTGATTTCAGAGAGGAAGGGAGAAGGAGAGATACAAACATCGATGATGAGAAAGAATCATTGATTGGCTGCCTCCTGCACGCCCCCTACTGGGGATCAAGCCCGCAACCCAGGCATGTGCCCTTGGCTGGAATTGAACCTGGTACCCTTCAGTCCGCAGGCTGAAGCTCCATCCACTGAGTCAAGCCAGCTAGGGCTGTTTTGGTTTTTAAAATATATTTTTTATTGATTTCAGAGAGGAAGGGAAAGGGAGAGAGAGATCAAAACATCAATGATGAGAATCATTGATCAGCTGCCTCCTGCACGGCCCCGGCTGGCGATGGAGCCTGCAACCTGGGCACGTGACCTTGACTGGAATCAAACCCGGGGCCCTTCAGTCCGCAGGCGGATGATCTACCCGCTGAGCCAAACCAGCCGGGGCCTGATGCTCCGTTTTAAGAATGAGTCTCTCACCCATAACCTGGTGCACTAATCCTAGAGTACTGAGGGGCAGGAGACTTGGGTTCTAACCCTGGCTTTACCACTCACAGGTTACTGCACCTTATGTCTCTGTTTCTTTCTATAAAACAAAGGGATGAGACCAGGAAATCCCTAAGCACCCCCCTCCCACTTTGATATTTTAACAATACATGTCATGATGCACTGATAGAATTCAGCCCCTAAATTCAGCTCTCTAGAACAGGGGTGGGCAAACTTTTTGACTCGAGGCCACAATGGGTTCTTAAACTGGACCGGAGGGCCGGAACAAAAGCATGGATGGAGTGTTTGTGTGAACCAATATAAATTCAAAGTAAACATCATTACATAAAAGGGTACGGTCTTTTTTTTTTATTTCAATAGAACAGCCGAACGGGCCGTAGTTTGCCCACGGCTGCTCTAGAAGAATCATCTGTACCTGTCTGTGGTTGTCATGCCAAAGGTCACCAGGTGGGGTCCAGAGAAGCTAGTTCTGAGTCTTGATCCACTTAGCTGGTCCACAGACACTAGGGACTGCACGTCCCCCTGTAGCCAACCATGAATCCCACCCACGCTGCCCTCTCAGTAGCCCGGGGCTGGGGGCAGGTGGAAGTGTCGGTGCCAGAAGGTCCAGTTGTGAACTCAGAGCTGTGGCCCACCAGAGCCTGTGGAGGACTCTTGAGAAGTAAGAGTTCAGCACACAGGGGAACAAAAACTGGAAACTGCATAAAAAATGCAGACTAATGATTAAGAACCCTATACAGTATATACAAACTCACAAATTGTTAAAGGGCAAAAAATAGTTTTTAAAAAAAGACGTAAAATTAAAAGTATGTGTCCCTCGGATCCTATCCTTCGATCTTTCCCAGGAACCCACTGTGACCAGCTTCTTGAGACGCTCCAAAGACATTCTGTGTTTATGTCATCGAATATATTGCATTCTTTTTAAAAATATAAATTATAGTATATTAACATACTCCTTATTCTCACGTTGAAATTTTTTTTCATACCGCGAAGAGTTGCACGCCAGTACGAAAAGCTCTGCCTTATTTTTATTTATTTTTTAAAGCATAAAAAGCATTTATTTGAGCCAAAGGAGCTGCTGCTCTGCCTTATTTAAAATCACCACACATTCTATTTTATGGAATCCATCACTTAAGTGAACTTAAATGATGAACATTTTAGTTGTTGATAGGTTGTGTTTTTTCTCCCCATTCCAAGCAAGCAGTACCCTTACCCATACTTTCTGGTGCACACATGGCCTCTCAATCTATGGGGCATGTTTCTAAATTTTATTTCTAAAATTGCTGAAGCAACGGCTGCGTGCAGGTTCAATTTTGAAAGGCATTGCCTAATTTCCTCCCAACAGGTTGCACCGACGGACAGCGGATGGACTGCTCAGCCTACACGTCAGTGTCATCTCAGACGGACCTTGCAACACTCCCAGGGAAGGCAGGGCGGCTTCATAACCGCCAGTTTTACACGTCGGGCGACGGGCGTCTCTGACGGAGCCCGAACCAGATGCCAGGCTTCCAGCTCGCAGGCCCTGCACTGAGCTCCTAGCCAAGCCCGAGGCGGCCGGCCGGCCGGGGTCAGGCCGGGTCGGAAGCGCGGGAGCTCGGGGAAGAAGGGGCGGGGGGGCAGGAGGGGCAGGGCGGCCTCTGCTCCCGGGGTCCCAGTCCAACTCCCACCTGACACAGGAGCCTCTCGGGAGCAGCCGCTGGCGCCCAGCCCAGGCTTGAACACTTGTGAGCTAACGTCCCTCGGACAGTCGCTTCCTCCTGGGCCAGCTCCCACTTCAGAACGTTCTCCCTCCGTCGGGCTGGGCTCGGCGCGGCTCAGCCCAGGCTAGGACAGGCCCGGGGCCAGGGCGGCCCCTCGTCAGGACAAGTTTTCCAAAGTCAAAACTGAACGCGCCCAAGAGAACGCGCCCCGTCTCTGCACCCTGCATCCCAGACACCTCGGAGCCCCGGCTGCCAAGAGAAACTGCCTTTCAGGCCTCCGCGGCCTCTCCTACGCCCGCGGCGCCAGGGCCCGCAAACCCGGCGACTCTGAACCGCCCGCTACGCTCGGGCGCCATCTTGCGTTCGTTCCTCTCGGCCACCCGGGGACAGTCCGGAAACTACATTTCCCAGAGTGCCTAGCGCGTTGACGCAGGCGCCAAGAGCCTCCTCTGGTTTCCACGGGAACCTCGCCCCTCAAAGGCCAGGCAGTTGGACTGTGGAGCGCGAAGCTGTCGCTCCCCGTCAGGTGCTCCGGCGTTAGACCAGGTCTGCAGCCGGTTGAGGGGGAAAGGGGGAGGTAGGCTGGTGGGGAGGAGGCCAGGCGGCCCTGCGTCCCGGACTGGCGCTCCCCAATTCTCCTCGGGGTCCTCCGTCCGCGTTCTAAGGCGAAGGGGTCCGGCGAGGCGAAGCCGACTCCGTGTCAGCGGCTTTTCACCCCTGGCCGAGGGCCTGTGCGCCCCTGACAGGAATTCCCGGGGCGCCGGGTAGTTGGTGCCGCAGGTGAAAGCGCAGGTAACGCAGGGCCCGGCACCTGGCGCGCCCGGGTTGGATCCGGCTCGGTCTCTGAGGGACCCGGGACGCAGGCTCCCTCTGGCCGTCAGGGCCGCTCCTGGGAGATGAGGCTCGGGCTGGAGCTCCCGCGCACGGTTCAGGGCCGTGCACAGCAGCCCCGGCGCTGGGTGACCCGGGGGCCAAGTCCCTTCGTCACTCGGAGTCCAAGTTTCCTTCTCTCTAAAGCGAGGAGGTGGAGCAGACTGACCCCTCAGGTCGCCCATTGCACGCCGAGCTCAGGAGGAAGGAAGGGGAGCGGGCGTGTGAGCAAGTGCCTCAGCTCGGGGGCTGCTCAGGAGAACTCGGGTGTTGTGACTTGGGCACAGTTATTGTGTCTCCTGGGCCTCACTTCCCTCCTTTGCAAACCTGGGGTGACAATAGTACTTCCTCGGGTGTTTGGAAATTAAATGAGACGTGTCGTGTGTGAGTTTAGCCGGCGGACTGTACAGAGTGAGCGCCATCCCAAGACCCAGCCATCATTTCTGATACTTTTAAAAAGTTCCTTTAAAAATCGTCCCCAAAACCGTTCCTTAGCCACCGTGAGACCTTTTCCTAATGTCTTGAGCCATTTCTTTTTACGCGGGGCAAATCCGTCCTTCTCGGCAGGATGGCTTTGAGGGCCGATTCTGATGGGGAAGCCCGAGTCTTCTCACCGAGATGGGAGGCTCCTGACGGGGAGTCTCCTCCCTTCCAGGCTGTCTGGGTTTGAACATTACCAGCTGCACCTGGGCAGGTGCAGAGCCACGGCCACGAGTGCAGAAGGTCCGTTCCCCTCCTGAACAGTCACACAGGGTGTCAGCACTTCCATATCAGGACGCAGAAACCGCTGGATACTGAAGGATAATCCTATATAATAAAAGGCTAATATGCAAATTGACCAAACAGCAGAACAGCCGGTGGATATGATGTGCACTGACCACCAGGGGGAAGAAGCTCAATGCAGGAGCTGCCCCCTGGTGGTCAGTGTGCTCCCACACAGGGAACGCTGCTCAGTCAGAAGCTGGGCTCACAGCTGGCGAGCACAGCAGCGGTGGTGGGAGCCTCTCCGGCCTCCTCCGTGGCAGCGCTAAGGATGCCGGACTGACAGCTTAGGCCCGTTCCCCCAAGGGCTCCCCCGAGGGCTCCTGGTCTGTGAGAGGGCACAGGCCGGGCTGAGGGACCACCCTGCCCCCGAGTGCGTGAATTTCGTGCACTGGGCCTCTAGTTCTCATTTAACAGTATAACAATATTATGTAAGACTGGATACACACAGTTGCAAAGAAATGCGTAAGAAGCCTATGCTGTCTGCATGGAGTTCAAGCTTTGTGTTAATTGGTAAAATCCTAACAAAGAGTTTTAAATTAGCGATAAAAATGTTTTTTAAAATCGGGGAACTCCCAATAGCTCTACAGACTCATCCAACAGGCATCCTTACGGGGAAGGAAGTGGGACTACTTTTTTGAGCACTTCTTAGGTACCTGGTGCCGCGTGGGGTACTCCGAGGGATACAAAGATGCACAAGACCATCTTTGCGCTAAGAAACGTAGCGTCTCTGGAGAAGACCAACTATGCATGCAAACACATCGCCTACAAGCACCTCTCTCACGATGTGTCCTGAGAGAGACACAAGTAACTGTGCTGTGAACATTCAAGGCAGGAAAGACCACTGCTCTCAGCGGCTGTATAATCGAGGAAGAGACAGCATTCGAGCCAGGCCTTGAAGGATGTGGAAAATGTGAATATGGGAAAGTAGGGGGAAAGTATTCTGGGCACCCTCCCTGTAGCCCGAGACCCGGAGGAGAAATGTCCGTGGCCCTAATTACATGGTGAGCTTCTAGAAGGCAGCGACTGGGTTTGGGCCAGTATTTTATTCCCAGCTTGGTACATGGCTGGCACACAGCAAATATCAGAGAAGAATCGGGGGTTACGAGTTTCCTGCCAAGAGGAACCCAGATGTGGTCTCTGTTACCCAGAGGCCCTTCGGTTAGGCTCACATGCCCTCTTACGGTCACTCTTCTAAGGGGAGAATGTGAACAGGCAGATGACCAGGGGGTAAGGGCCATGTTGTTGGCATATTTAGTACAGTGCCAGCCACCTGTGCTAAGCAGAGTGAACAGGGTCTTGTGAACGGGTAGGAGGGCTTGTGAGCCTCTTTCCCCGAAATGAGCTGCACACCACAAGGGGAGGAAGCGAAGCAGTCTTCAGGATAACGGATGGATATTCCTTTGGCTCTTACGGCATTTGTGTCTTTTCTTGGCTCTTCTTTTTCTGTGGCTCACTCCTCCCCATAGACATCCCCCCCCCCCCCCATCCGTGACCTACCTGGAGTGTGAAACTATGTCCACTATGCCAACAGATTGCTGAGACCTGCAGCTACCGCAAAGGAATGAAGTTGGTTTTAGCAGCACCATCTTCAGGCTGACTTCTGGGTTCGGCCCTTCTTCTAGTCCTACCTAGGGTGAACCAGGAGCTAGTACTGAAACAGACCACCACTCAGAGACACTGTCCAATGATCTCAGGGAGGGGTGAACTACCTTAGGACCTGGGGTGGAGATGTCGCTGGAGGAGGGCAAAGCAGAGAAGATGGAAAGGAGACTGTTATTATTATTATTATTATTATTATTATTATTATTATTGACTTCAGAGAGGAAGGAAGAGGGAGAGAGAGATAGAAACATCAATGATGAGATCGGCTGCCTCCTGCACGCCCCCGCCCCCCGCCCCCATTGGGGATTGAACTCACAACCCGGGCATGTGCCCTTGACCAGAACTGAACCCTGGACCCTTCAGTCCACAGCCAATGCTGTATCCACTGAACCAAACTGGCCAGGGTGAGACTGTCTTGAGGACAGGAAAATCCTTCCTTAGATTTCTCCTTTCCTATTTAGGCTCACAGAGGATGCAGTATTTTCAGAACGAGGAATGTAGGAAAAGGTTAAGTGGGTACAACCAAGGAAGGGATGGGGCACAACTGACTCCCAATTTTGTTCCTAGATGTGGAAGGTGCAGGACTTCTAGGAGCCACAAAAGCTCCTTTTCCTGGCGATGCAACCCCAGGTGAGCTGTTACACCATCTTCCTGACAGTCTGTGCTCTCCCTCCTGGAGCCCTGCTCTTTTTCTCCAGTTTGCTCACACTCCACTGGCTGCAAGTAAGTGCCTGCCAGGTATGTCAAGATTCCTGGGTTGCTAAGGGCCATGTGAAGCCTTAACCCTGGATCTGCCTCTTGAGAGGAGGTTACAGCGGCTCAGGGCCTGCCGTGGAGGCCAACGTCAGCCTACCTCAGGGCCATAATGATCCTTTACAATTTACAACAGCTAGGAAGTCTTGTATTACAACTTTTACTTTTCCATCTGAGAAATCTGGGTTCTTAGGTTATAAGTCAAAGAGCCAAATGGTGCCGTTGAAACCAGTGATGTTTCCATTGCCTCAGCTGCCACTGAAGGGGTGCATCTGCTTACCGGAGCAGCCACAGTCCTTGGCTAACTTGCAGTTAGACCAAGACTCTCCTTCCTTCCCTTTTCAGCCAGCATTTCCTGCCCATTTTCCTCAGTTCTCCAGCCCAGCCCAGCTTCTCTCTGACATAAGACATATTTGACCAGTCTCTCACCCTCAAGCTCTTGCTGGACACTGACATGTTCCCATGGCAGCAGGTCCCATCAGAGAGCTGGTGCTCCTCCCCTTACTCTGCCAGGGTTGTCCGCTCCCAGGTGGCCACCCTGGGTAGCTGGGACACTTTAGGGGATTCTGTATCTGGGCTAGAGGACCAAGAATACAAAAGCTATTCTCCCACTGAATAGGGAGGCAAGTTGACAAAATTTGCCCAGTGGGATTCCCTGGCCTGGATAGGGAATGCCACACCCCCACCCCATTGACACCCCTGGCAGCAGCTCAGTGAGCCTCAGAGATAAAGGTGGGGAGGTGGGTGTGGCAGAGACGGGCATGCAGAACAAGCCCAAACTAAAGCAAGGCCCCACATGCTGGCCTAACTCAAGCTAGATGTAATTGTCGGGGTGGGCAGCAGGCTAAGTGAAGGAGGATGCCCTGAAGGTTGGGGTGAGGAGACAGAGCTGATTATAAGTCACATACATGATCTTCATGTGACCCGAGAAGGCTTGGAGCTGGGTAGGTGTGCCCAGGACTGCAGCTGCCAGTCTCCTCGGGTAGCACACACAGCCGTGCAGCTTATCTCTTGGTCTGGTGGACTGACTCCCATCTGATGCAGGCCTCCAGAGACCTTCTCCACAGCCTTCACTCTCACTGTGGGCTCAGCTAGAGGCCTCCTCCAGCCCTGTCCACAGTCTGATTATCTCAGTGTCCCAAGTGGTCCTGTGCTGGGCTGAACTGTGCCTCATCAGACTGTCCACACTCCCGCCAACCTCAAGCTCTTACTTTCTACACAGAAATGAGAAACTGGAAGAGGGAGGCCAAGTGCCATGAGGATGGAATAAATGGTTTGAGCAGCAGATGGAATTATTCTGGGTCAGTGGGATGCCTGAGCTGGTAAGCAGAGATCCCCACCCCAGTACTGCTGGCTATCCCATGTGGTGGGTGAGGCCAGGGAGAACAAGGCCAGATGCTCTGCCTGCTGCCAGATCTGCTGCAGGCAGTCCCTGCTGCCCCACCCACCATCCTGCTGAAACCTCCCCCTCCTCCTCCCCCTCAGCCTTGCTCTTTTATTTGTTTCCCCTCTCCCTCCACCCCTAGCCTACCTGCAGCCGAGCTCCTTAGGAGTGCCCGTCTTGGGTCTTGGCCCGCATGCGGCAGGACTGGTGTTCCTGGGCAGATACCTCTGATGCCTCTCTGATAAGAGAGGAAGTTATGGCAGGTAGAACTGCATGTGGGCTAAGTGGTAAGGAACCAGGTTGAAGAGACAGTACCAAAGGACTGGAGGTACCTGTAAGAGTCTGCTAATCCCAGTGATGGATTGTGGGGCTAAGGTGAGGCTGGTCTGATGGAGAAGCTGTCCTCAGAAAGAGAATTCTGTTTAAAATTGGACCCTAGATCCATTTGACAGGAAGGCTGGGATAAAACTAAACCCATTTCTTTTGCTTACAGTTCCTCGTTCTGAGTCTTGAACTGCAAACTATCCTCTCCTGCTGACTTTCCCATTTCCTCTATTCTTCTACACCCAGGTGTAAACCTCAGGGTGATAACTCTCATTTAATCATTTATCAAATTCTGATGATCTTTCACAAAACAGTTGCCTTGCCCTAGCCGGTTCGGCTCAGTGGATTAAACATCGGTCTGTGGACTGAAGGGAAAGGGCGCAGGTTCTATTCTGGTCAAGGGCACATACTTTGGGTGCAGGCTCTGGCCCCAGTGTGTGCAGAAGGCAACCATTCAACGTGTCTCTCTCACATCAATGTTTTTCTCTCCCTGTCTCTCCCTCTCCCTTCCACTCTCTCTAAAAATCAGTGGAAAAATAAACTCGGGGGAAGATCAACAACAACAAAAACACAACAACAAAAAACACACAGTTGCGCCTGACTGGTTTGGTTCAGTGGATAGAGCGTCGGCCTGCGGATTGAGGGGTCCCAGGTTCGATTCCGGTCGGGGGCATGTGCCTTGGTTGCAGGTACGTCTCCGGTGGGGGGTGTGCAGGAGGCAGCTGACTGATGTTTCTAACTCTGTATCCTCTCCCTTCCTCTCTGTAAAAAATCAATAAAATATAAGAAAAAAACAACAACAACAAAAGAACACACAGTTGCCTTTTATTCCCACTTCTCCTAGCCCAAGTCCCTGCTCCCATGCCTAGGCCTCTGTAATAGCCTCCTAGTTGCTTACATCCTTCAGACTATCCAGAAGGTCATGAGTAGATTAACCTTTTGGAGTATTGTATCATTTTACATGTTACGCTCGTGTTTATTGCCTTTAGTAGTGCTCCCATTGCCTGTCAAGAGCAGTATAAACTCTGGTCTTTAGCTCAGGGCCTTTCCCAATCTGGCACCAGCTAACCTTTCTGGCTTTATCTCCCAGAATGTCCTAGTACACACCTTTCACTCAAATCAAAGTCAACTCCTGACTGTTCCTTGAAAACACTGTTCCACCTCTTCACCTTTGTTCATGCTGTTCTCTCTATCTAGAGGTTCCCCTCTTGCATTTATTCATTAAAATAAAGTGTTGGAAATTTTAAAAATTATTTTGAAAAATTTCAGAGCTACAGAAAGTTGAAAGAATAGTACAATGAACACAAATATAACCTACATCGATATTAACCGGTAGTTAGCCTTTTGCCACATTTCTCTCTCTTTTATTTTCTGGACCCGTTGAAAATAAGATGTATGCCCTGGGTGGTGTGGCTCAGTTGGTGTGGGTCAGTGTTGTGCAACTCCAGAACTTTTTCATCATCATAAATAGAAATTCTGTATCAATTAAATGTCCCATCCCCCCTGATGATTTCTATTCTACTTTTTCTGTATGAATTTGTCTATTCTAGGGACTTAATTTAAGTGGAATCATGCGATCTGGCTTATTTCACTTAACACAATGTCTTTAGGGTTCATCTGTGTTCATACATGTAGCATGTATCAGAATTGCATTCCTTTTTAAGGCTGAATAATATTCTATTGCAGATGTTTGTGACAGTTTGTTTAGCCATTCATCTGTTGATAGACACTTGTTTCCACCTTTTTGCTATTGTGCATAATGCTTCTGTGAACATGGGTATAGAACAATGATGGTGAACCTTTTGAGCTCGGCATGTCAGCATTTTGAAAAACCCTAACTTAACTCTGGTGCCATGTCACATACAGAAATTTTTTGATATTTGCAACCATAGTAAAACAAAGACTTATATTTTTGATATTTATTTTATATATTTAAATGCCATTTAACAAAGAAAAATCAACCAAAAAAATGAGTTTGCCTGTCACCTCTGACACGCGTGTCATAGGTTCACCATCATTGGTATAGATTGAAGCATCTTTTTGAGTGCCTGCTTTCAGTTCTTTTGGGTATGTACCTAAAAGTAGAACTGCTGGATCATATAGTAAGTCTATGTTTAACTTTGTGAGGAATTGCCAAACTATTTTCCATAGCGACCAAGAAATTTCACAGTGATGCAATATTATTATCTAGACTACAGACCATAATTACATTTCTCCAAATATCCCTAAAATTTCCATTACAGCTTCTTTAAAAATTTTTATTCAGGACCCAATCAGGGATCACAGGCTGAATTTGGTTGTCATGTCTCTTAGTTCTTCTTTAATCTAGAATAGTCCTGCCTTTTTTGAAGAATCCAAGCTAATTGTATTGTAAAACATATCTCCACTTATGTTTGATTGTTTTGACTTATTTAAATATTCCCTCACAATTAGACGTAGGTTAAACCTTTTGTGAAAATACTACATGCGGCGTGTTCCTTCTGTTGCATTACTTTAGTCGTTTACTGTTGCTTTATCCCGTTATTGTTGATGCCAGATTTGCACCTTGGTTAAGATGGTATATGCTAGATCTCTCCATTTCAAGGAATCCTTTCCCCTTTGTAGTCATAAGTAATCTGTTGGGTGATAAGTTGAGACCGTGTGAATATCCTATCTTCAACAGTCTATCAATTGTTAGTTTCAGCATCAAGTAATGATCTTTGCCTACATTATTTATCTCATTGTGTTTTTAAAATTATAACATTCTTTCTGCATTTAGTACACATTCAATATAATACAGTATTATTCTTTAGTAAAGAAGAATATTCCCTTGATCCCTTTTTAGTATCACTATAGATTAAGGTACTCTTTTTAATTCAGTGTATTATAAGCTATTACCATAAATGCTCACATTTTCTTATATATGGCCAGTGAGAGCTCCTTCAAGCTGGCCCCAAGTCCTTCTGTCATGTTGTTTTGAGCACTTCGTTGCACAACATGATGTTCTAGATGCATGTAGAATTTTCCCTGTCCTAAATATGGAATCAGCCATTTGTCCAAAGATCTCTAGTTTCTTTATGTGGGGAAAGATATTTAGAAACTGAGATCTAGATTCTAGGTATACTTATTGCTACTAAGGTTTTATTGCTTTTAGGCTTTGTCAATGGACAGAGAATAAATTTTATTTTTAATCATTGAATTCTATGACTCTGCTTTTGACCATGTCAGAGCCTTCCCATTATAAACAACCATAAAACTTAGAATATAAATAGGGCAACTATTATTAGGCTCTGAACATTAAACAGGATGTGAGTACTGAGAGAAGGAAAACACTTGAAGTGAGCCCCACATTAACCATGGCCCCTGAACCTTTGCCTGAGGACAATTTGCTGACCACAGCACAGAGGTGGAGCCCATGAAGAGCACAACAGTTCTGCTGAGCTGATAAGACAGAGCTTACAGTTGAGGGTTGCTAAAGCAGCTAGAAATTTTAGGGCAGGGTATCAGAGAGGTGGCAGCTGAGTAGAGGGCAGAATACCCATAAGTAGGTTCTCTATGGGTCCTTAGCTAAGACGGCTGAATATGTATAGGGTGAGACTCTGTGAGACCTGGCAGAAAGTTGCTGCTATGGATTTGAAAGTGGAATGGATATACTGGTGCTGGGAGAATTTGAGTTCTGGCCTATCCAGAATGGAAACACTTCACTGGTACTCTGGGTATTGGGCTGAGACCAGAAAGGCCATGACCTAGAGCTGGGGTTGGCAAACTATAGCCTGTCCAAATCTTGCCCACAGTGTGCCAGATATGGTAATGCCTACCTACTTGTTTACATATTGTCAATGGCTGATTTCACACTGCAGTAGCAGAGCTGAGTAGTTGGGGGGGGGAAAAAGTAGTAGTTTGTTTGTTTTTTTAAAGGGGCGTTGGGCTTTCTAGAGAGAGCAAGTTCTGGACCTTCCTACTGCCAGGACCCTCCCCCCGCATAAGGGCAGGTAGAAGATACTTCTCTCCCAGTGGAATGTAGTGAAAAGAGTACAGCATTGTGAGTCCAGGGACATCCACAAAGCCATTGCAATGCATGCCATAATAACCCTATTACCCTAGTGAAATTGCTTCCTTTTTTAAAATATATATTTTTATTCAAAGAGAAGAAGGGAGAGGGAGAGATAGGAAACATCAATGATGAGGGAGAATCATTGATCAGCCGCCTCCTGCACACCCCCTACTGGGGATTGAACCCGCAACCCATGCAAGTGCTCTGACCGGTAATTGAACCTGTGACCTCCTGGTTCATAGGTCAATGCTGAACCACTGAGCCATGCTGGCTGGACGAATTCTTTCCTTTTAAAAAATCTTATATTTATTGATGAGAGAGATAGAGAGAGAGAGAGAGAGAGAGAGAGAGAGAGAGAGAGAGAGAGAGAGAGAGAGATCATTTTGTTGTTCCACTTATTTATGCATTCATTGGTTGATTCTTGTATGTGCCCTGACCAGAGACTCAACCTGCAACCTTGGTGTATCAGGACAATGCTCTAACCAACTGAGGTACCCAACCAGGTCCTATATTATTTTTAATATTTTTAAATGTATTAAATGGACATGGTAAGACTTTTTTCCTCACTGATTAAGTAGGTAATATAGTTACATACTTCAAAATTCATTCTTTTTGTAAATCCTTTCCCCCCCAATTAATTATATATTTTAGAGATCATTCTACCTATACCAATACTTAAAGAGTTTTCTTGAACTTTTTCACAGTACAGTTTCCATTGTTTGCTATAGCTTATTTTAC